ATAAACATCCATAACGATATTTTATATAATTAAACAGTAGATAGTTCCATTTCTGACAAGTTTGAGCACAGGATTTTTTCACGAGAATGATATTTGGGAGTCATAATGGCACACAGTTACGTTATAAAACATTATCTATAATAAATGCCTTATGAAAACTGCAGTTTTGGAAAATTATTTAATTTAAGCTTCAGTTCCATTACTACTACTTTGCAACAGAAAATTAACCATATGTGCTGCCTTGATGTTGCTAAGATTTTCAACCGCTTTACACAAGCTGTGATAATGAGTAGAAAAAAAAGTACGACAGTTCAGTCGGGTTGCCAAATCTAGCAGCACTGCATATGCGATAGCAGTGCCATCATAAGTGCTAAAAAATTCATTTTGAAAACTGCATAAAATTAATTTTCTAAAAATTACAAAACTGTTTCTATTAGGAAACAATTTACTGAAGGAGTTTAAAAATGTGAGAGTCGATAAAATGCACCATGAACTTTTTATGAAAGACAGAAATTAATGTGCAAATCACAAGTAGAAGACAAGTGGACGGAATCCCAACGCTTTGTAAATCAATAATTAAAATTTCAATTAGTGAAAGAAAACCTAAACACGAATATTATGTCTCAACAAAATTATCACAAACTAAATGAAATGAAAATATTACCTTGTTCCTCTACCTAGTTCATCCATTATCACAAGGGAATGTCTGGTTGCATTTCGCAAAATCAAATTCGTTTCACTTAATTCAACATAGAAAGTAGATTGGCCTGAAATAAGCTTCGAAAATAGAGACCTGAAGTATGTTTTGAAATTTTAGAAAACCAAATGAATGTCGACCTGCAGTAATTCGATCACCCGCACCCATTCTTGTAAAGATTCGATCAACTGGTGATAATTTCATTTCATCCGCAGGAACAAAACTACCCTATAATATGATAATGTGGTATTCATTAAACTCTGAGAAGACATAAATAGCACTCTATAACTTCAGATATTCAGATATAACTTGATATAAATTATAAAGTAATAATCAAATTAAAACAAAGTAGGGCAGCTAATCTTGCGATTAATTTGGTAAAACCAAAAATTTTCAGACAAGAATACACATGTAAAAATGTACATATATAAAAAATACAACAATTTAACAGAAAATATCTGAACAGTCGGCTAGAAAAGTAATTTTCAATCATATTGTATTTCATTTACTTCTAGCAGGTGATGGAGTGGTACTTTAATATCAGAAAGAAATAAGTGTCCAATACTGCATAACGTGATGATCCTGATTATACAAATGCTATATAAAATATAGAACACAGTATAATTCAATAATTGATGCAGTCCTCCATAATTCCTCATTTTTCTGCATTTAATGGAAGGCACTTACTATTTGAGCAAGGACAACCAGCACACCAACTTGACGCATTAATGTTGATTTCCCACCCATATTTGGACCTGTCAATAAAATTGTTGATTCATTTCTTCCCACTAAAACACTGTTTGGTATATATGTGAAACTGCTGCCCGAAGCAGCTATCGCAGCAAGCGACGGATGATATCCGGATTTGATTTCTAATACGGGCTGCAAATATGATCAACGATTAATTTAAAGATTTATTTTAATGGTTACAGCTAATTACTATTCAATGCAATAGTGTTCGATAAATAAGAGTTTTAACACTTATTTAGCTTCATTTTCAAGTATTATCCTGTAGGATAGCGTAAAATTAGATCTTAATTACTTACAAATATCATAAATGTATAAATAAATAAACTTCTACCAGCTTACTATCGTAAATAAACTGTGGACGGCACATATTTAGACCACATTCTTGACTATAACGAGTTAAAGAAAGAAGCACATCAAATGTAGCGATACGTTCAACAACCACCGTCCATTTCATAGACCTTCAAATGCAGTGAATATCGATTTAACTATTTCGATTTCTCTACTATTTTTATATGAACAGTTAAAATTCTTGGAACTAGATTTTCTAAAACAGTAAACTTTTATGGCTAATTAATTTCCAACTGTCGACGTTTAAACTGATTGATAGGAATTCAGACTATCATCAAAAACATTTAGCGTCATTTAAGTTTAAGACACTATCATCAAGATCGTATGATTAGTAGAGGTGAGAAACAAACAAAGATGCGTGTTGTATCTAACAAACATAAGGCTTCTTTATACTAGTCCCCAACGAATAGCTAACAACGCATTTTACTGTTATGGTGCAATTTCTTGTTGACTCAAAATTTACATTCATGTCGATTATCAATACAATACAAAACCTGCTTATAAAACATTTTGAATAATTGTTCTGAACATTCGGATCTCAACCTAATAAGCATTGAAATAATGTTTCACTATTTCAACTATTGTGAAGCATGTTTATATATTGTGTATTTATTTACATTCGTCACTTCTACTCCGAGAAAATTGAATAGCTTCATTAAGTCCCCTCGAAAACTTCACTAACCTGTCGCCAAAATCAGCAAACACGCGCCGCATAATATCACGTCGTAAGATATCAAGTTGATTTTCAGCTTCGTCCAAATTTTTAACTAATTTTACCAATTCATCCGTTACCATCCGTTTGTAGCCCTATTTCAAAAAATGAAAGTAAATAAATGAAATGGAAATAAAGCGAAACAGAATAAACAATGAAACTTGATTAGCATTATCCAACCTTTCGAGAGGATTTAAGCTCGAATTCATGGCCCAAATTCATAGCAATAGCTTCCGGTATTTCAAGCTGATAACGGGATCGCCCGCTTCCAAAGAAATTAATGTTCTGGAAACATTTTAAAAGTCTTCATAACACTGATAAAACTAAAATAAATGCATTCAAAGATGTTTAAATAATGGCCGTCTACATATAATTTTTGACCATTTATTTTGATAAGGAAAAAATTTACTGAACAATGTAGTTGCTTTCTGATGACATTCAAATACGAATCTAATTCATGGACGCATTCCTTCATGTTACAAATCGCATCGTCGTATTCCTCAATTACACCTTTTTCTGGTACAATAATACCTTCTTCTTGTGCTTTATCGCGATTGAATGCATTCTGCAACCACCATATTTAGACAACGAGCAAAGTCAATCCTTCATCTATTTTTCAATCCTAAGTATGTTTAACGACACAATTGATGATGATTACTGACAAAACACGCTCAAAAATTACAAATGAGAGTAAAACACATTTAGTAAATACTGTTTAAAGCAACTTGATGATTTCTGCATTTTAAAAAATTGATATAAAGATTTTTTATGCCTGTTAATGAAATGAGACTGGTTAAAGAAGGAGTTTAAGGCTGCCGCAGTCTCTATCATCCACTTAGATTCTGAGCATCTTAGTAGGAAACAATGTGCACCAGAAAAAAGCCGAGCTGATTCAAATGGGCTTAATATGAATTTAAAATAAAATAAATTTTTCTTATCACATGAGTACAGAATGAATAATAAACCAGCAAAGACACAGAGAATCCCATTGCAGATCTCTATGAAACACAACTCACGAGATAGGTTCAAGTCCTAAAACAAGAGAATAGGAAGTTAACAAAAACAATGACAAAATGATTCTAGAAGCTATGATTTATCAGAACAACCATAAAAAATAGTTACTTTAAAATGTTCCAGATCATTTGAGATGTCAGGAAATCGATATCCAAAGCATTGTTCTAACAGTGAAGGGCTATAACAATTTTTGATTTAACATAGGTCTTCATTTACTACTTAGATTAAATAAAAAATACATAGCCAGTGCTTTTGCACACTACAACTACTTTTCATAAACTTTGAAATCGATCTTCGGATCCCAAAATAAAACTTTTTCAAAAACTGTTTACTAATTCAAAGCAATTTTTATGCCAAATGTTTCAGCAAAAATTTTTCTGTCAAAATAATGGATACAAAAATAAACCAAACCACATACACTGCCTTGTGACTCTCGCCAAAATTTTCCATAAATTCTAGACGGAGATCTTGAATAGACTCAAAACCTTCTAGAGCTCGAACTAAATCTCGAATTTTTCGTTTATTGTAACGCATAGTTTCGAACATTTGCGCTCGGCTATCAGGGTGCTCTTCTGCTCGATATTTGAGTCCTAATGTGTGTATTCTGAAAAAAAAAGGAACGTATATTTTAATAAGTAAAGCTCTGAATATACTGTAATTCTGAGAATAAAGATCACTTTTGAACTAGGCGTTCTAGGTCAGGTACTTTGCGCAACTTGTCCACAGCTTTGTTAATGAATCCTTTCAATCTTGTTTCAGAAAGCCATTCTATTGCATCTTGTCGTGAATATAGGATCTCTCGATCACAAACAGGGGCACAAACCCACTGCCGAAGAAGACGTTTACCTGAAACTATTTAGGATTAACTTCGAATCATTAAAAAAAATGGACAAAGAAGAACGCTATAAATCTTTGATTGTCAAAAGATGAGTAACGCTTTCATAAAAAATTTGGGATCTATTTTAAAATTTCCGACAAAATATACCTGCCGGAGTGACACATTTATTAATAACATTATAAAGTGTATATTTTGCAGTGACCGGATCATGTGGTGAAAATTTCTTTATAAAACCAATAGGTGGTATGATATTCAGATGTTTCAAAGCAAGGCTATCCAAAATAAGACGGTGTCCACTCCAGTACTGTTCATCACTTTCAGCTTGATCCTTAAAAAAATTTGGATTTCGCAATATTAAATAATTACAATGACAATGACCATTTATTACACATATAAAAGCTATAGAGCTTAGAGAAAAGGACAGAGAGTATGCAACGATGAAAACTTGGCACAACTGACTGAGAAGAAAATAAAATATAAATTCACTTTATCTTGGAAAAGAGGTCCCGTCAAATTCATGGGTTTGTATAACTCAAATCTTTGCATTGAAATCATATCAACATCAATAAAGCATCTTCCTAAATACCTGAAATTTGAAGTATATTTGAAAATTTTTGATAGAAAATTTTTCGCTCAAATAAATTTAATATTTTGCGTGAAGTTAGATATCGACAAGATTCAGTAAATTTCAATATAGTTATCCGTAATATAAAGTCAAATACTGAATGGACAAACCAAACAACGGCTCCCAAAGCTGAAACGCATGCGTCATACGCAGGATTGCATTTTAGGGTAAGGCTGTCTTTATCCATCATATCGAGTAGAACTATGGGCCATTTATCATACAATTCACCGAAATATTTATCGCTTGCCAGCTGCAATAAATTTTTGTTTCACTCAATATTACTTAACTGACCCAAGCAAAAGTCATTACATCAGCGTTATTTTGACTACATTATTTTGAAAATGAAATTTTTTTCCGAAAAAGAGTAAATGCAGATAGAAATAACAAAACAGAAGACAAAAAGCTGGCATATTTAAACGAATTTGGATTTAAACTTCTCCTATGCATTAAATTCGTACCAATTTCAAAGTGTTTTCAGATGTTAAAAATTCTTTCTTCGGAACTAACGCTTCTTTCGGCACAGCACTCACAGTACTATTATATACAGTCATTGTCGACGCTGAAACTCGTCCCCGCTCATATAAAATCTGTAAAAATTTTGTTCGAACAAAATTCGAATTAAAAAGTAATTATTAATTTCAATCAATTCAGAGACAAACCTGAGCTGGTTGATAATGAGAAAATAATGTCCTTAGAGCAGAACGATTACTCCCATCTGAGAGGCAGCCAATCTGAAACGGTTTTCTGCAAAAAGACAAAACAGTGAAACAAGCAACAAATCTCAACTTGAAAGTATATTACACTTTCTAAAATATTTCTAATATTTCAAAAAGGCTCTTTTCAGACATGAAAAACATACATAGAACCGACCGACTGTTGTATCGATGAAACAGACACCATATTCTACACTATCTGTACCCTGAAAACAAATTTATGCTATTTAATGATATGACCATCAAAATAAATTATGAAAATCAATCTTCTATCAAAATTAAAATACCCTTTCAGCTATAGCGTACAAGTAACGTGCTGTTGTGTCCATCATATCCACAGTGCTTTGTTCATCATTTCCATCAAGTACTCCGTATGTACGAGTGCCTGGAGTAGTAATATTGCACACTTCCCTAAAACATTTAACACTGTAAGCGCAACAGCATTAGATTTGCAAAACATAATTAGACTAATTTATTCAAAAACGAAATGCGATTACTGCGATAGTTGATCTCGCATAAGAAACAAGAGACAAAAACCTTACAGCTTCAAGTTTATATGTATTTTATAGCTAGAAGCTAAACGAATTAAAAGAATGAAAAACAAATTAAGTCAGAGTTTTTGATATTTAGTATCGCCACTTTTTTTTGACAAGTTAGGAATATTCGTACATTACTGACTGTTACAGTGAAATACTTATGTTGAATCACACCTCCTCACAACTTTGTCATTAACTTTCTCGATTTTATTTCGGCTTTCTAATTGTGTTGGAGTTTCGGTTTGTTCTACGCGGGCAACTTTATATCCTCGATTAACCAGCTGATCAGCAAAACGACCGTAAGCTACTTCTGGAAATCCACAATGCGCAAAATTGCCCTAAAAAAATTCAAGTTTTGAAATTTGTTTCAAAAATTGGGTTTCCATTAAAAATAATCTAGAAAAGAACAAACAAATAACTTATTAAAATAAGCTAAATTGAATTAACCCTCATATAATTAAGATTTAAATTTTCGACGCCAATGACAGCATCCATATGATACATTTCGTAAAACTTTCCAACTTTGAAAAACAGTACTGTATCAAAGTAAGCCGATTTAGCTGCCCACCACTGTCGATGTCCTAAAAAATATTTTCAAAATTGCAAATTTATGATAAAAGTACTACTTATAAAAAACAAGAAATTCGGCGCAAATCTAAACCTGTATATTATTATTATTAATCTATTAAATTTGCAAATTTTATTGGTTGAAACTTAACATTCCTTTGAAATCATAAATCATACCGGGCGTTTGCTTTTTCATGAACGCTTCCGGCACATACAAAGTACGCGGACAATAATCTGGATGATTACGTAAACGTTTATCTGCATCGCGAATGCGATCTGGTTGAAGAAAATCAAAATCTAAATGAGGAAACCGCACAGATTCAATATCGGACACGGTTGCCAAACATGCAGTAGATGTGCTTTCATCCATAACATCCTTATTGATTGAACAATCTAGTTTTGATGTCGTAGATAAATCCTAGATTAGTATTAATTAATGAATTAATTGCAGTTAATGTCCTGTAAATCTGAAACTTTAAATTGGAAAATATCGAATACTTGACGTTCATATCAGAAGATCTCGAATTTCCATTTGAAAACAAGCAATATGAGATGATCCGAAATGCATATATTCAGAAAACCTTCTAAATGATAGAATCTCCTACTCTGAACTTCGATCAAAATCCATAGAAATACATGTGCGGAATATTGTATGCTAATTAAAGAAATGCAATTTTTATTCAATACAAACTTGCTCTGTAGCGCGGAATGAATTGATGAACGATATAGCCATCTCACTCAGAACAGGTTTTGAAGATCTGGGTTTATTTACCGATGGAGTCTCCAAGGAAATATTTTCCTGATGAGGTGACTTCTGTAAGACAAAATACCATTATTTTTGAATTAAATTTAACTTTGAATTCAAACTCCAGTTGAACTTACACAACTAATACAACGGAACTTCAAGCTTGAAGTCAGGGGAAAAATCAACAACGATTTACTAAAGAATTTAAGGTCAAGATTTTGAGATCTAATAATGTTCCCAGATGAAATATATTTTTCATATATTCACTGTTGACTTTTTTCTCAAAAAATTTTCCATTTCTGTTAGTGCGTAAATTGACCAAATTTTACAAACCAATTGAGACAGCAAGCCGCTCCTTAATGGCTTATTTTTTGGACTTTGCTTCATGTTTTCCTCACTTTTTTTCATGTCCATCACTTCAACATCATCATCTTCTGAATCCGATGAAACCACCACGCGGCGACGTTTTGTTTTTACTGATGAATGTTCTTCATTTAGTGGTCGCTTCATATCTGGGCCTTAATAAATGAATTCAAAAAAGAAATGGATTTTTCCTTGAAGGTGGTATTGTAGGGTGTAAAATCTATTAACTGAAAAAGATTTTCTTAAAACTTCAGAACTTGAATTAGTTCGGTCTGATTTCTAGGTTTAATTCTTTCAGAAAATGTGCATAAAGATTAATCGTATCTAGAATCTAATTATGAAAAATGTTTTTTGCAAAGAAGTGTTTTTTTTTTTTAAATATTTTCCACAGCACTAGTAACTGTCCATTTCAAAACAAATTTAAATCATATTAACAAGTGTAGGATCTCGTAGGTCTCTCGAACTTTGTATGGAAAGCATTCTCTGTGTTTTATATTAATGGCGTTAAATTATGTGAAAATCTGTAATGTAAACGAATCGAGGTTAGCCATAACTCAGTGCTTATGTCGTCATAATCCATTTTTTGAAATAAATCTATTTTGCTAAAGCCTTTCATAAAATAAAATATTTCAAATAAAACACTTTTTGTAGCATCTTCCATTGGGATATCATTCCCTCTATTAACATCTTTTTGCGTTCTCGAAATTTTGGAAGTAGTTCGCTTCAGGTCGATCTGGAAAAGAGAGTTTTTCAACTTTGGAATTCAGAATTAGGGACACTGAACTGCATTGCAACTGAAACATGTTTGAAAAATATATGATTGGTAGGATGTATATTAATTTCCAGCCCTTTTAATTAAAAAATATTAGATCAATAATAATTTGAGTCAATTTTCAAAGCTCATTCTATTGTTTTTTCATGTCGTTATCATTGATTAAATGTAATTTCCGATCACTAATTCCACTTGTATGTAATGACTGAAGTATTTGCTTGTCGTTTCTTTCACATTTCTTTCGGTCCTTTATTGATTTTTTCTTTTTATTCTAATTGATCTCTAAATGGTAAGAGCAAATGTGAATCCTCAGAAGAGCGGGATAATCTTCGAATCTATGAAAAGTGGGAATACGTAGTAGTAAGGAGCTGGAAGTGATTAAACTGGAATCATTAATTTGGAATCATCTCTCTTAGTTACGATATTTCTCATTCATTTATTTGCAGCTTACCCACCTAATTCGTTTTCTTTAATGGATTTTTTACTGGATAATATGATTTTCATTTTAATGGATTTAAATTTTGCAGACCGTTTGATTTCTGACCGGTACATCTTGCACTGCATTTTTCGGATTTGGACTTCTGGTGAAAAATGAAAATAAGGATGCCTGCTTCTTCGTAGCCATTTTCTGAACCACCACTGAAATGTTGACACAATGGTTATGAGCTTTTCAAAACAACAAAAAAAGCTAACGGGGCATACTAAAAGTTTAAAAACTTGAAATATATTTTTTCCCCCCACGCATCAACATTCTTGAGATAGTGATGGCACTCAAGGAGTCATCGGGTGGTATATAGGAAAGTATGGCGAAGCATGTTTGTCACTCGTTAATCTTTAGAGAATTTACAGACCGGTGAAAAACATGAATGAATAGATCCAACAGAATAATTTGAGCTATGTAAAATCCAATAGAAAGTTCTTTACAAAGATTCAAAATTTTCCAATTCCATTCAAACTGTAACTTTTATTTAGCCAAAAAAATTTGTTGCTAATGAATGTGCGCTTTATTAATGATAATTTAACTTTTTAATAAATTAATAATTAGTATCAAATTCCTAATTTTCCGGTAAGTTGTCAATAAAACTATGAATTACAATAAAATCAATAGTTAGAAGCATATTATAGATGACATTATGCATCAATGAAATAATGCTTAATCACGCGCGTATCATACGTCAAATCACATAAAGCTATTTCTGACCTCTTTCCAGTAGAAACGAAATGTATGAAACCAAACGTAGATCACTTTAATGCTGTATCAGTGAGAAATATGATATTTTTAAATTGAACTGGTCTTGAAACGATATCTTTGATGTCATTGAGGTAGCTTTTAGTAGGGATTGAGAGGCGGGACGGGCGATTGTGGTGTGCATGCTCGACGTGGGTTGCGTGGATTGGTGGTCATCCGGGATTGGGCGGGGTTCCATGTATGGATGTGACTGTTTGAACACGCAGACATCATTTGAACACGCAGACACCATCTGAACACGCAAACACCATTTGAACACGCAGACACCATCTGAACACGCAGATACTATCTGAACACGCAGGCATTATCTGAATACGCAGACACTGTCTGAACACGCAGAGTCTATTTGAACACGCAGACACTACCGGAACACTCAAACACCATTTGAGCATGTGGACATAGATTAAGTAATTCACAGCAAGTAGACATGTAGGACACTGCACAACAATGTGTAGTTCATAATCTTCCCTTTTTCCGATATTTGATGGTATTTATTTAAAGTTAGTTTATCTGTTAGTATTGTATTTGAGAGCTTTTTGTGAGATTTAGTAGGTCACACTACAGCAAGCAGATATGTAGGATAAATCTTTAGAGAGTAGTATTGGCTGGTATTGGACCATTTTCACCACCACGAATTCAACTGATTTTATAAGGCGGAATCACTTGCATTGTTATATTTTCAAATATGCTGTTTTCAGATCACAATTTTTGAAATTTGAATGAAATTTCTTTTTATTGGATTGCACGTATGATGATGTCTAAAACACTAAAATTATGAATAAAGTCATTTCAGATTTGATTTCCAGTTGCTGAATTCGATATAAAATGGGCGGCAAGAGTGAAGCAGGTGATCAGAAGGTCCGTGCTACACAAGATCAGTTACGGCTTGCGAGATTAATGCAGGATTTGACCATAACAGACGACGATCGAGCGAACATACAGAAGCTTGTAAAAAAGGTGGAAGCTCATATAAGTTTGCAGCTGATTTCATCTTGTTATAATTATTTATAATGAGGTCTTACAGGATTATTATTGTAGTTTCTGGGTAATGAATAGTTCTGATTATTGGTCGAGATTTCATTGGAGTCTTGATTGGAATTTGAATATTGGATAAACAAATTCCAGGTGGTGGAGACGACAAGATGTACCGTAAGTCAGGCTGAAATTGCTCTGTACGATAATAATAACGATGTGCAAGAAGCAGTAAATGCCATTTTGGAGGATAATTATCCAGATGAGAATGTCTGGAAGGAACAGAAAAGCAGGCGAGCAAAACGAGCCGAAGCGGAGGAATTAAAACATGAAGAATCGAATTCTTCTCATAGGAATCGAATTAACAATGCAAGATCATCGAATAATTCTGGTAGCATTTGATTTCTTTAACACCTTTTCCTTCTTATCTTTAACACGTTCAGCATGCATTGAAAGACATAATGCTGAAATGTAATTAGTGTTAATCTGATTTTTCATTCATATAATAATGCACATTATGCAAAAACGGAACCGGCGAAATGTCAGAATTTGTGTATTTAAATTCAAACTTCATTTGTTTTAAGAAAAAATTTTTAGTGGAAATGTAGAATTTATTAATTCATGTGAATTGTTTTCGGAGTGCATTTGTTATTGAATTGTGCCGAACAACTCTAAACACTAAACATAAAAAAGTTCATTTTGGCAGGATATGGACGAGGACGAGGAGCAGATCGAGGGCGCAGTGGTTACCGAGGAGGACGTGGGGGCGGCCGAGGTTCATATCGAGGTGGATATCAGCACTTGTCATCTCAAGGACAGTTTGGCAGTAGTATTACAAGTAACGTTTGGGATAATTCACAGGCATTAAAAGTGGATCCTAATAAGGAATGGACGAATGCAAGCGCAACTGCTGTTGATGACAACGCTGAAGATACGGAATGGGTATGACTCATTCGTATTACTATGAAATGGTACAATTTCATTCTTCCCTGATTTCTTCTCTCTTGTTTTATCAGTTTTGAGAAATATACTCATTCTTTCAGAAGCAGCATGGCACGTTGGTATTTTCGCGAAGTATGACACCACCAACCACTACAGCTTCTGCGGTAAGCACAGTCGCCGGGATGAACTCGGTAACGCCAACTTCTGGACCAATATCGTTTGCTGCGGTTGCAGCTGCCGGAGCTAATAAAGCGAAGGAAAATGCGTTGAAAAGTTCTCTGGGTCGGTCTGGGACAGGCGTACCACCAACGTTGGGACAATCTCAACTCGAGAATGTAAATTCACTCTACCAGAAGTTTGCATTATTATTGCTTTTTTCTATTTTTGACGATTTTTATGCAATTTAACGCATTCTGCAACTTAATCACCTTGATAACATTCTGATAAAAAAAGAGTATAGTAGTGAGTATAGCAACATTATTTTTGAAATTAGAAAATCGTAGTGGTGAATACATTTTTTTTACTAGTGTACTACTATAATCACCTGTTCTTGCTAGGAAGAGAAATCATCTGCCTGCTGGATTACATGCATATACATTTCAACTTTGAAGACACTTGATTAGAAAAAGAATAGTATTTTGATTAAATTCATGCTTTCATAATAAGATTTCTATAAATTGCAAACTAGGTAAAATTGCTTTGTATGGTTTTGCTTGCTCATACCAGCAAGTAATTTCTTTTTTCCTTCATTTCTGCTTTAGTTATTTGATTTTACTCATTTCAGCAGTGGGCTTGTCTCAACTAGTAATCAATTAACAGCCCCGTCCGAAGAAACAGATAAAGGACGTGAAGCTCGAGCATCACCTTTAGTTGGGCATGATGCTTCTCCATCAACAAATCCTGTTCCGGGGACAGCAATGCATACAGCAAACGTTTCACAACAATCTCGAACGAATGCATCTGTCACCACCGTAACGAATACGTCAGCGGACTGGACAACACAGTTGAAAAATGATCTGGGAATTGGTGGCGCTGCTCCTGCTACAAAACCTAATGCAAATCAAGCAGGTTTAATGTCCAAGTCACCTCTACAGAATACGAAGGCAGGTCGAACATCTCGACACACTACAAATTCCAATACTGTCGAATTTGTGTCAGGAGAGGCAAACGGCCCAACTTTACCCGAATACCAGTTTGGTTTTCACGTTGACTCAGCAACAGGAAGTGATGAACGTAATGATGATGTTTACGGTGCATCGGTTAAATCTCGATCCTTGAATACGCAGAGTGCTAAGGTTATCCTTTGCTGTTTATAAAAAATTTCGTACCACTTTATATGTCAAAACTTCATGCCGATTGGCAGTTGTGAAATTTTTTGGCGAAGCATAAATATGAAATTTGAACGAATATCGTGATCATACAATTCTGGCTATCTGGGAAAATGCATGCTTCAAATTATTTAGACAGGCGATTCGCTAACAGTAGTGGGAAGCCAATGTTTTTGTCAAAATATTTTTCAAATTGTTTCTAAAATATCAGTTTTGTTTCAGGCTGAAATGAACGCGGATTCGTCATCATCCATGCTTTCAAATGGTCCAGTGGGCGATTATTCATCTCCCATAAATTCACAGCAGCCAAAGGTATACCTTTCGGTAGTGTTCCACTGAACTACAATTTTGATTAAGCTATTCATTTGTTAATTCTCTGCTAGTTCCTTAACATTTTTATCGAATTAACAGCAGCCTTATATGATTTGTCATTTAAGAAAAATGTAGTTAGCAATACTGATAAATTAACTCTAAAAGTTATTGCATAGAAACACGATGTTATCTAAACAAGAGCTGACAAGTCATATCGACAAGTATCATTTATGTTACTATGTAAAGTTAGGCACCATCGACAAGAACGTCATTTCAGATATCAGCGGGGAACAGCAGTGTTTCTGTGCCTCAGTCTTCACCTGTAGTACATCAGGCAAACACTATCCAACGTCAGCCAGTTACATCCGGATTGTCATATGCTGATACATCGAGCATGTCATATCCGTCATCTGATAATCGGAATACGACTAAGTTACCGCTCTCACTACATCATCAGCAGGTAGTTATGATTGTCACAATGTCAAGTAGTGATTTTAATTACATATAAATGTGTTAAACCAATTTGCAATGAATTCAAGGGACAGTTGGTTTAGAGTATTATAATTTTGTTACTGGTCATGTAGAAGGAATATTTCCTTAATGTGATCTTTCACATCTCCTCCTTTAATAATTTTGCAGCAAACACCACATACACTTTATACTACAACGCAGTTGCCGTATGCCAATTATCCTTATCTAAACATGTATAGTCCAATGACAGGAGTACGACAAGATGAGTATGCTGCAGCATTGGTACAGTATCCATTCGGTTAGTGTTCACTACTTCGTGGATGCTAAAGAAACATTAGCAGTAACTTATTTTTTCTCCTTTTTAACTTCGACGTGTAGTAGCGATTACAGGGGTTGGACAATTTGATATGAACTCGTTGTCAACAATGTTGCCTCCAGCAGCAGCAATTGCTTCACAACAACAACAAAATCAGCCACCACCTCCAGTTCAGTCGCAGCATCAACAGCGACCGGACCAGCATCCTAACATTGTCGATCTTTCTAAAGTATGATGTTCAATTCTTGATATCTGAAAAATTTAAAATTGATATTTTATTGGTCTTCAGTATCTAAAATTATAACCGTACTATTTGTTTGTGGTTTTAGGCTTATTTGGCAACCGCTGCGGCAGCAGCGGCAAATAACACAATAGGAAGCGGAACTGGCACTGGTATATTGGGTAATCAACAACAGCGTGACTCAACTGCAGTGAACAGTTCTGCTGTCGCTCCACCACCAGGTTTTAGTGGTCCACCAGCTGCTGCGTTTACACTTCCTCAACACAATCACATCAATTCGATATTTCAAGTTTGTGATATTTTGTTGTCTTTTGTTGAAAAGAGTTCCCTTTTAAAAAAAAATCAATATTTCAGGTACCACCAGCTGCTTACCATCCACAAATCAATCAGCTGCCTTTTTCATTTATGTTACCGAATGTTACTAATGGGCAACATAAACTAAACCATCAGATGTTTGCGCAACAAAATGTTGACGATTCGCTTTCTGACCAGCGTCTTTCTTCTCAACAGCAAAAGGTTGTAAAAATATTTGAATTTTTAGAATTGAAATCTTTGTGGCTAATGATCAGCGTTGTATTTTGAACAAAATATCGTTTTTAAATCTGTGATTATTTTTGTTTTTGTTATAGGTCTACCAGAGCCATCAACAATTGGATAAGTACGGCAGTTCGACTAATGCAAAGGATCGTCTGGGAGGAGGTGCACAAGCAACGCCGCCGCCGCAAGTGTATCAAACGCAGGCATATATGTCACAGCAAATGCCACTACATGGCCACAAGAAAGCATATGGCGGCGGACCACAACATTGGAGCGCTTCGTAGATTACTACTGTTTATTGTAAAAGTGGAAGGAAAGTAAAATTGGAAAATTAGCTGTCGCCTCACTATCAGTGCTAATAATTTTTATTTTATGCCACATGATTGCATATGTGAAAGAATGTTTCTTTGTGTGTGTTATGTGTACTAAGAAGCATGGCAGATATTTCTCCCCCAAACTGTTAATTGCATCTTATATGTTAAGTTCTTTTTCCCCGTTGCATTCACCAAAATTTGTAAGAATTGATGTTTTCTTTTTTTCTCATATAGTAACAATTTAAATTTAATTTCTTTTTGATGGTTTTGTGCATCGATTGTATTTCCATTCTTTTTTTTGCACGTTAACCTATTGCACTTACCTTGATCGTTTTAACCGTCTATATATACGCATTCACGTTTTACTTGAATTGAATTTCATTTTTTCTGGACCCAAATTTTCCGTTCTCGTTCATGTGGTAGCAATGTGAATATCATATTCAATAGGAATTTCATTTGAGTATCCAATCGGGTAATTTTTCAAAAAAAATGGAAAGTGAAAGCAACATGTGACAAACCGGAGGGGCAGGATTTAGTTCTAAAGTTATCATTATTTTCTTAAAGTGAATTTTGTTACTGTATTGGAATAAATCGTTCTATAAATCCGATACCATTGTGTTTGTTTTTTACTCGTTTTGGGAATAATGTACACTGCAGCTACAAATTTTTGTTTCTGATTTATACTTTTGTGATAGGATGCTTATTTCAACTTAATGTTAGGAGAGCATTTTCGATTTCTAAGTTGGAAAAGCGTAAAATTATATAGTTTCAGAAGAAGCAAGTTAAGATTATTTAGTGGGTTGACCGATTATAAGACCAGGTTACACTTTGGTTGTTGAGGTTTGATTGGAAAGCATTTTGTACACCAGGCGTTCAGGTTTAGCAGTTAACATTGGTTTCATATTCTTAAGACATTGGTCCAACGCACATTTAGATCAGGTTGGTGCATAATATAATGTAGAGGATTAATTCTTCAATATTTTTTGGTGTTTAATTGTTTTGCACCAATTAGGTTGAAGTTCGTCATGGGGAAGATCAATTTATTTCCTTGCTTTTGATTTTATCTGGATCAGTACTAGGGTTGGCATTATAGCTGCTGAAGTATTTTATCAAGAAGAGTGTGAGATTTTTCTAAAAATATACTTTTTAACGATTTAAAATCTATTGCTATCATCAACTTTTTGCTGTTCCAAACTATCCCATTTTCGTCTTCAATATCATGTTCCCCATATAATTATATCATTTTTCGGAATTTCAGATTTTTTAAGAAAGAGGTCTTTTTGTTTTTGTGGGATGATAGGAGGAATATGTCGATGTTTTCGGCGATTATCTTCATCTTCATCGATAGCTACTGTAAAAGCAATGAAGCAAACAATTAGTATTGCTGAATATACGCAACGCCGCTCGAATTTAGTTACCAGATTACGACAGACCGCCTCACAAATCAAAAACAAAGTCCTGGTTGTGGTGCTACGATCCGCTATACGTCAATTCTATGCCCCAGATGTACCATATCCGTTCCATCAGTGTTCGTATTTTCGGTATTTTACGGGTTTAAATCAACCAGACGCCGTACTTGTTATAATAGCTGGATCAGAGCAGGAACCGAAATCAGTTTTATATATTGAAGGTATTACTTGCATATCATTTCCTCCGCTTCAATTATTGTGTGATTGTTTGTTTAACTTTGCCTAATACTAATTAACAAATAGATGTTGCATTCTTTACAGTTTAGATATCCATATGTAACTCTTATGTGTTTACAGAACGTTCTGAAAAGCAAGAATTATGGGAAGGTCCCGGTCTCAGTGCCAACGAAATTGCAGATATCAGTGGTTTAGATGAAATTAAAGTACGAAATAAGTTAATTCCTGATTTACAAATGTTGATGTTGAATACTGCTGGTTGCGCTGTTTCGTATGATACTGCAACACTTCAGGCAGTAAGAGATGGTCTTCCTGAGGTAAATTAAATTTTTTGAGGTCAGTAGAGCTTTATTATCTGTTCTTGTAGCATACGCTTATGTTAGAATCCATGTTCATTTATTGGAATTTGAAACATCATCATCACAATCTTCGGTGTGGCACGTCTTCTGATGATAGCTTGATACTAACTCTTTTTTTTTCAATTTTCAACCATTAACATCAATTTCCTTAAATTAGCTTCTAATAGCAGCTCGTGAATCATTTTGATTAATCTCGTTAGACATGTTGTTGATAAATTTAAGAAAATTCAAGAAAGCATTTAAAAATTTGTAGTTGATGATAACTTTAATATAATTTAATGTTTTTTCCTGTGAGATATCATATGCCAGGATTGGAAAATCATAATGTAATTTCATTGATTTTACTAATAATTGATTAATGAATAAACTAGAAGAATAGGAAATTGAAGGTGTTGTCAGCATGTAATACGTTTGTGCCGGTACGTGAACATATTGATGCTTTACGGTGGATCAAATCATCAGCGGAACAACATTTAATGCGGCAGACATGTTTTATTGGAGCACAGTCTATGAATGCAATGATAGCAAGAAGTCGAGGAGTTACCAATGAAAACGAAATTGTTGGACGATTAGAGCTTGAGGTTCGACGTCGTGGAGCTGCTGGCCTTGCTTATCCACCAGTAGTAGCTGCAGGCAATCGTGCTAATATCATACATTACCTGGATGCTAATAAGGTTCCTTTTTTTCTTTATGTTGCAGTGAACTCCTTCAATTTCAGTTTCTTGTCTGTTATAATTTTTAAATTTTAAATTTAATTCTAGGCTGTCAATGGTAGTGATACAGTGCTTGTAGATGCTGGTTGTGATTACGAGGGTTATTCAAGCGATATCACACGGGTTTTTCCAGTTTCTGGTCATTTTAGTGTTCCACAAAGAGCTATTTACGATGCACTGAATGATGTGCAATCCCATCTCTTGGATTATCTTAGGCAAACAGAATTGCTAAGACTAAACGAAATATACTTCGCTATGATTGAATATATTGCGGAAAATCTTTCTGAAGTAGGAATATTTTCCAGCAATATGGGAAAGGAGGAATTGCTTTATGTAAGTTTGCTCCGTTTTTCCAGTATTTTTCGGGAAATTTATCGATTAGGTACAAATGTAATTAATAAGTGGAAGCAATTCGAGTCATCATCGCTTTATGTAGAACAAATTCAAGTCATCACCTAATGAACTTTCAAAGTTCGTTTCTTCTAGGAAGCGGATAGAATTTGTCCTCATCATGTGAGTCATTATCTCGGAATGGATGTACATGATACTGCCTCTGTGGCTCGCAATATTCCCTTACAGGCGGGAGTCATATTTACCATAGAACCAGGTAAAATTAAATAAAAAAAATGTAAATAATCATATATAAATTAAATTTTGATGAAATAGAATGACTGTGCTTTTGCGAGAAGAAAAATCAACCAAATGAAGGCTGTATTTATTTTTTTCTATACCTGTTTTTAGGTATTTACATTCGTTATGACAATGAAAAAGTAAAGAATGAGTTTCGTGGCATCGGCATGCGTATCGAAGATGATATTTTGCTTGGGTCGAATGGTACAGTGGAAGTACTTACCAAAGATGCTGTTAGAGATCCAGAAAGCATTGAACTATTGGCGATGACCGGATGTGTGGAACAAAGCAAAGACGACATTTGCATATCGCAAAATCTACCTCGATGATTAAAATGAAATTTGGATTTCATGATGCACTTATGGTTTACTTCAATGATTTTAATAAGATTATCATTTACTTTTTTCTCACCGTGACTCATGATCCCGTTCCGGAAGAATTTATTGTTGGTGTTGCTTATTAATAATCATTTGATTAAAATGTGTATAAAATTTGCTTCAATGAAACTAAAGTTAAAACTATTTGGTTGTATGCATGCTATTTTAAGTGGAAGCAAATTGAGCATCAGAATAAATTATTACTGCTGAAATAAGTCCCGAGAACAGTGAACTTGGTTAAAGCGCTAAAGAGCTGAAATTATAAGACAAGAACAAAATATTGCTAGAGCTAATTCGAGAGTTCTCAAAATTTTCATTTATATGAAGTTTTGAATAAAATGAATGTTTTGGAACATAGTAGCATAATTTAAATGTTGTGCAACCAGATATGGCTATGAAGTGTAGAAAAACATTTGCACTAGGATAGAAAATTCAATTAAGCATAACTTATAATAAAGCCGAGTGAAAAGTATTCATTTCGATGAGAGCTATATGGTTTTGTTGTTGTTTCTGTTGTTTTTGCTGGTCATGATAACGATGATGATGACAGTGACTTCGATAACGTCCAGGATGAAGATGATGAATGTCCAATGATTGATCGAGATTCATCGAGGAACATCTTGTTGGTTCCCAAATAGCCGCATTTTTTCCATTACTATCTGCTAATGAGGTTGATCCTATTGTTGTAACACCAGGATCTTGACGTTTTCGTTCTTTCATACGCCGTCTAATTGTTCGTTGCCACAAAATCGCCGATATGATGAGTAGTATGAGAAGGAAGATTATTGAGCATATTGATATGATAATATGTTGAGAATAGCCTAAGAATTGATACATCTATTAAATGACAAATATCGACAATTCGATATGAAATAATTCCTATCCAATTAATCTACATTTCAATCATTCAAATATAAAAAAGAGATAATGTAATTTTTAACAGAACATTATTTTTCCGAATAGACTTTTACGCATTATTTATGAATTACTTTCATAAACGTTTAAAATATTGTTTCAGAAAAATCAACCATAATGTAATTATTAACGTTGGAAAAATTTCAATCATTTTATATGAACATGATAATTATTAATTAATTCACAATAATACTCAAACTTACTTTGACATAGTTTAACAATTCTTTTTCACATGAGTTAACTTTAGCTATATAATATATGATATATCAGGAAAACTTCAATTTTCAAATTTTATACCTGAAGCTATATTGTTACTTATATTCGAATTTAAATATTTTATGCTAAAATTCTCCTTAATATTAAGTAAGTAAGAGAAGGATAACTTACAATCTTCTTCATCAGTATAATCATTTTCTGCACAATTATGCACACCATTACAGATAAGTGATTTATCAATGCATAATTGAGTTCGACTTGCGCAAACATTTTGTCCATTATCGATGCATAATTCACCACCTTTACAAGCAAAACCCTGTAATTTTTTTATTTTCACTTTTTATTTGCATAAAATATCATTAAATTTCTAATAGAAATTTGAAATTATTTTAAGTAAATTTGAATTTGAAAATGAAAGATATCTGGAGAAACACATTATGGAATAATAAAAATGATTAATTAATAACGAAGAAAACTGCCTATTTCGGATGATTATTTGAATAATTTATGTGAAATGAAATTAATTAAAGAGTAAAATGATGGAATCGTTTGTTGAACGATTGTTTTTTAGATGTTTTAAAAGTTTTGTTAAGGAGTAAAAAATTAACCTAAGTGAAATTTGCTGTACAAATTAAGTAATTTAATTTAATTTCCTAGCTCTCTTTCTCTCTCTATTCCAGATTGCTCAATTATATCTCAAATGTAAGTATAAATATTCGCTTTTCAATATTGCCTAATAAAAAATCTCAGCTGTTCGCTATCTATTCCTATCATTTATCAAAGTAATATTACTGAAGTGGAAATGCCAGCTTAAATTCTTATTATCATTCAAAAATTGATGTAATATAGCTAGAAGCTATTTACAATAGGATCACATATTAAAGTGAAATTTTAAAAGACTTCATTTTTCATATGAAAAATGTTTTTTCCTTTAATTTTTTCTTCTGTGAAAAAATTAAATTACCGGACAGACATTTCCTTCCGGTAAAATACTCTCAACTTCAGTCCATATCAAACGAAAACCAATCGGTTTGCCTTGTTTCTCATACTTTGCTAGCAAAGATGGACTTGGATGATCGTTTGTTTCAAATCTAAAGAAAAAAGAAATAATAAATATTAATTGATGCTAATTTAAATATACATTATTTAAAGTTTTATTTTGTTTTTATTTTGCAATTAATTCATCGCTCACTATTTTGTTTGATGAATGAAAGATGGGTGAAATTGACAAAAAAATTATAAACATTATTTACTTTTCAAGTATTATTTATCCTTAGGTATTATTATTATCAAGTATTATTTATTTTCAAATATTATTTATCTTTTAATTAAATGATAGCCGAAAATCTGTGGGATCGTAATGATTATTAGAAAGATAAGAATGATAAGATATACCGAACAATGAGACGATTCCCGGTGGACATATATGACTTCATACCTTCCTCGGTGTAATAAAGTTGACTGCCACAAAATTTCACCTGATTTGCATCATCTTTCTTATCTGCTGAGTCATGACGATAACCATCTATTATATACACTGATGCCTTATCACATTCCGCTACAAGAAATTAAATTATCAAATAAAATTAAAAATCTTCGTTTAAATATTTAATAACTAAAATAATATGGGTGATTGTTATAGTGTCAGATGAAGAAATGTTGAATTAAATCATTGTTAATAATTAAATTATTAAGCAAAATTAAAATGTTAATATTTAATAATTAGGCTAATAAATATCTGCCAATGATTGATGAAAAAAATATTGAATTAAGTTATTATTAGTTAATAAAGTGTCAAATAAAATTAAAATGTTAATTAAGTGTTTAATAATTGATGCAATACATACACTATCATTGGTTGATGGAGTAAAAAAACAGTTTGATTTTTTTTTCATCAGAAATGAAATTATCATAAAAAAAATCATAATATTAAATAAATATTTGATAATTAAGTTAACGAACCCATTGTTGGTGATAATTCCAGGTACTGTATACGTATATAAACTTTTTTACCGGGATCCACACGTAATAACCAATTACACGTAACATTTTTTGGATAAAACGATGGATAGCCGGGACTTCGTATTTCACCGGTGAATGCTTTTATATTGCTATGACCACCGCAATATCTCAGATACCTCAGATCATCATCGAAATAACTACTAGCTGGCTCAAATATTGATTCTAGAATTTGGAATGTTTTAAAGAAAATAGTTGAAAATTCGATTTGAATTAATCATAGATGAAATTCATTTTGAGTGGAGGTGATTTTTAGCTATTTTATTCTGCTGTAACAGTTTTTTTTTCCTCCTTCTTTCTCTTTTAGATCATTTTTTTTTTCTTTTTTGGAATTATTGATGAAATTATCAGACATTATTAAATGATATCTTTAATGTTAATGATGCAAAGAAGCAACATCCTTTACAATAAAGATAATTATCAATGAGATAAGACATTGCTTTAATAAGTTATAACTATTATTAGAGTCATCAAATATTCATTGATTGATCTCATGAGTTCAAAATGACTATCATAGTTTGTAAGTTGCAGAAATAATGAAATACTGAAAATGACAAACGAAATGATCTTAGCAAAAGCATCGAAATTTTTAAAAAGATTTTAATTTTTAATCCTATTCATATACTCTTTAAATTTCGATTAAATCAATAATTGGGAGCATTCGCAATTTTTCATTGCTCTTTATTATCTTTCCATGATAATTCTTACAATGCGTGATTAACTTTTATAAGTCTTTTGTATTGAATATAAATTACAATCTGAATAATATTGTTAAATATTGCTAATGCAAGAATATCCTTAAAAATACAATTGTATTTTGGAAATATCGATTTTAAAAATCAAAGTTAAAAAAAATTAACGAATGGGTATTATCGAAAAATGGAGCCTATAGCTTTAATTTGATTCGGTAACTATTGCTGGGCCTAAACATATTAAGGATTGGAAGAATTTAGATTGTTCTTTAGCATTTAATT